CCTCGGTGACGATCCAATCCTGACATCGGCTGGGCCGTTCCAACAGAACTTCGCCTTTTCTCCCGCAGCATCGCCCATGGTCACCAACGGGCCGTTCTCGAACGTGTACACTCAATCTTCGATGGCATCGTCTTTGAATTCTGCGGATTTTTATTCCCCTCCTCAATCCGGCTACCCTTCTGCCGTTTCGACGCCCCAGCCGGGCCATGAAGTAGACGGTCAAGGATTTTACTTTGACCAGAGTGGTCACACGCGAACCATGCCTTTCTACCCATCTCACCGGGGGACCCATTTGATGACCCCCGCGGCCCCGCAATTTGCGTATGGGCCCAACAACGACCAAGTCTATTCTCTCATGAATGGGGTATCTTCCGCACAAACGACAAACGGGTTTTCTCTACAGCAACACGTCGATCCTTCCCGAGTACTTGTTCCGGAATATGGACGACGGGTCTCTCCCGGAGTCTCTGTGGCCGGGAATGATAATTTGTTCCAGTTTGGTGCCGATTCGGATGCGGAAGACGATGATGCAAATTTTGCAATGATCCAATCCGAATATGGCCAGATTAGTGACCCAACATTGGACTTGAATTCGGGTCTACAATGGGACCCAAGCGTTGCTGACTATGGCAACGTGCAGCGATTTGGCAGCGGTCCCGGGAAACAGGTGAGAATAGGGGGAGCGGAAATGGTCAATTCGCCTCCGGATTGGGGTTCCTCGATGCTGAGTCGAACGCACGGCTCAGCAGCATCGATCAGCGACATTCGGAACCGCGATCAGGACCCAAGAAGACAGAAAATTCCTCGGACGACCTCGACGCCTGCCTTGTCTAACCAGCATATGCAGTCTACTGGGAGCTCGCCCGGCGAGTCCGGCTTTAGCAGCCGACAACCGTCGAGGCCCAGCAGCCCCGGACCCAAAAACACGGATCAAAATGGGGTTCCAACGACATGCACCAACTGTTTTACCCAGACCACGCCCCTCTGGCGACGAAACCCGGAAGGCCACCCACTGTGCAACGCATGCGGGTTATTCCTCAAGCTGCATGGTGTCGTGCGTCCCTTGTCGCTGAAGACTGATGTCATCAAGAAACGGAATCGTGGTAGTGGGAATACGGTTCCCATGGGGTCAGCAGCCACCAGAGCGTCCAAAAAGGCCTCCCGAAAGAATTCAGTTCAGCAGACACCGGCCACAACGCCAACGTCTGGCAATGGCGCAAGCGAGCAAAATTCAGCGTCCCCGTCTTCGGTGCAGGGCTCGGCGCATTCGGGATCTGCTGTCACGACCCCCACGAGCTATCCGCCTGGCACCACAGGAGGGAAACCTGGAGTTGTACCCATCGCTGCGGCGCCACCTAAACCACCTGTTCAGCCGGGTCCCAACATGGCCCGGCCGGTGCAGGTAACACCGAAACGGCAGCGACGTCAGTCACGGGCGTCAACCAACACATTGCCCATTATAGCCGGAAACGGCGGCTCGACAAATGAGGCGGAAATGCACGACGCTAGCCAGTCGACACCCAAGGTCGCTCATGCTCCTGTCACTCGGGCCAAGGCCGCCAGCATGTCTTCGACGGCGGGGGCCACCACAATGGCCTCGGTGATGCAGGGCGGGCTGCTCAATTCAGGAGTCCAGAACATGGCCAGTGGTCCGCATGGGAACAGCCAGGAATGGGAGTGGCTGACTATGAGTTTGTGATGAAACCCAACCTATTCACCGCGTGTCACGTCCAGGCGACGGTTGCGCGGGAAACGGACCCAATTGCGGAAAAGCCCTCGCGTCCATTTTTCCTTTCGTTGATTTGTGTTGCACATAGAACTGTTTTGCCCGTGCCTTGCTCATACAACCTACCAAAGTCCTACTCCAGCTGCACGATTTGACGACCATGCGATACACGAATCTCCGACTTTTCTCTTGTTATACGGTCTAGGCCCCTGTTCATTGTCGGGAGAGCAATGGAGAGCAAGCAGCTAGAGCTTGCACGACAGGATTTCTCGCGGGTGGTCAAAGCTCTTCTTTGGGTCGATCTGTTGGTGTGTTTGATGAGCAAGGGATGTAATGATGGGGGGATTTGCTGTCCGAGTGCAAATTGTGATTTTGTCGATTTTACAACAGTGATATCACCGCGTCTGCCTCGAGATGCTTGGAGATACAGAGCCTCGAGCAGAAGTGCGCACTTGATTTTTGTGTTGGGGAAAAGGGAACCAGTTTTGGGACGCCTGAGTTCGTTAAGAGGACTAATGAATAGATGGTTTGGACGAGGGCCCTCGACAATCTGTTTCGAAATGGACCATACGATGCGACATTTACGTGCGTTGGGGAAGGGGACTTGGGGCCATTGAAGTGTATGTGCTCTCTACACGTTTGTTGAGGGATGGCTGGCACGAATTTCGATGGCAACGACTTGGACACCACGTTAGAGATACGACTGGCCGAATACTACTCGGTAGAAACATAGCTCCGGGCCCATGATCCCCTTCACACTCTTCATACATACTCGGAACCATTGATGGCCCTGGGCGGCTCCCGAGGGTCTGTAGCAATTGATCCCGCTAGGTAGCTTGGATGTACCACGATGTACCTCTTGGTACCTCCTCGACCCCCATCCGAACACGTGATGCTCGGCGTTTGTCGGATTTAAGAGGCGGAGACGATGGCTTGGCAAGTCGGCCATCAGATTAGATCACTGGCTACATATGTACCGAGTAGGCATCCAAAATGCGCGAGACCCTGCTGTCTTCCACCAACATTGGACACGGTTAATCGGCTTCTGCTCTCAGCACAATAGATCTGCTCTGTTCTCCATAGACTAGGACTCTAGGACTGTCTGTCAGAGGTCTTGGGTTGTCCTCTTGATACCGCGGCTGCGGACCACTGTGATTTGCACATCGCCCTCGAAGAGTCCCCTTTGCGAACATCCTACTCGGTAAACAAACCTCGCATCCGCGCTGACGATCTGAGTCGAGGGTCCCAAGTTGCCCTTCGAGACCTATTGGTATATCCTTTCGGAGCCAAGTTACACAAAGCATCCGCCGCGGCCCGTCCATCTCTTGGGAACCGTCCGCCCTGATCGAATCACGCACCCGGTGGATCTGCCCAATGGCCACTCCCGAAGCAACAACTGCTGCTCCCGACAGCACAGCTTTGCAGGGCGAGGTCTCCGGCGTTGTTCCAGACAGCGCGGAGACGAAGCCCGCTGCGGAGCCCGCTGCGCCACCCGTACGAGTCCCCGACCTGGAAAATGATCGTCGAGAACAATCGCTGACTACAGGCCAGGAGGCCACCCCGGCCACTGCAGAAACTCCAGTTGTGGCCGAGGCAGCTGCAAGTGTCGATGTACCGGTGGAGAAGAAGTCCTCCGCGATCGAAGAGCTGTGGGCGCTCGCCCAGGCGCACGAACACCCCGAGATCTGGGGGGTCACACTCGCAGACCCGGCCACCCACGTCCCGACCCAGGTCATCCTGCAAAAATATCTGAATGCCTACGACGGGGACCTCGCAAAATCCAAAGAGACACTGACCAAGACCCTGGATTGGCGGGCCAAAATGAAACCAATGGAGTTGGTCAAGAAGAAATTCAACCGCAATAAATTCGCTGGGTTGGGATACACAACCGTCTACGGGGATGCCGACGCGGCGGCCGACCCGGAGGCCAGAGAGGTCTTTACGTGGAATATCTACGGGAGCGTCAAGAATCTGGACGAGACGTTTGGAAATCTGGCCGAGTAAGCGCACGAACCAAGGACGATTGACGTGGGTCCGGTGCCATGAACTAACCCGTTGTCTTCGCAGCTTCATTGAATGGCGAGTGGCCCTGATGGAAGATGCCCTGCAAGTCCTCGGAATCGACAAGGCGACCAAGCCTATTACCGCGACCTACGACCCGTACAAGATCCTTCAAGTGCACGATTACAAGTCGATCAGTTTCCTTCGCCAGTCTCCCGTTGTGAAGGCCGCCAGCACCGAGACGATCAAGATCTTCGCGCAGAACTACCCGGAGTTGCTCAAGGAAAAGTTCTTTGTGAACGTTCCTGCATTCATGGGGTTCATCTACACGTTCATGAAATTGTTTGTGGCCGCAAAGACGATCAGGAAGTTCCACCCGATGAGCAACGGCGCCAACCTGGCCCGGGAGATGGCGACGAGCAGCAAGGTGAAAGGATTGGGAGAGATGCTGCCGAAAGAGTACGGTGGGAAAGGAGAAGACCTCAGTGCTGCTGGGAGACAACCCACACTCGAGGATGAGGCTGTGGCTGAGCCTCCGGCGGCGGCGGGGTAAGCCTTGCGCGGAGCTGAATACGGGCGAGAAGATGGGAGGGCGACCGTCCGAAGATACGGCCAAGTGCTGCGTCCCAAACGCGTGGCCGGGCATGACCCTGAGGTAATGAGGAGGAGGGGCCGACACAGTGCATGCTACCCGTTGGGCGTTTGCTGGGGTGTTGAATAGATTCAGCGAGCGGATACCCCTTTTCTGTTCAGACCTGATAGCTTGTACTGACCACGGACCACGGACCACTGACCCCCGACCATCGACCACCGATTGACATCATCGGTGTTGAGGTACTAGACACCGAATACCCAGTAGAAGCGATGGTGGCGAGGTCTGGTTGATACTGATGGCATGGCTCTGTATCGCTTTGGCATGTGCGGCAGCATGTTTGGGCATGTGCAATTCCATCCGTCTCACGTGCATTCGTTCTTCTGATGACGTCAAAGTCTATACATCGCTCCTGCCCTCTTGGCCTCCGCCTCCTCCAGCACTTGCACCTGCTGTCTCTGGGACTTGCCCATTGCTCCTGCGTTGTCTTGTGACCAAAGGCTAAAAAGGCTTTCACTCGCCCTCTTCTGGCTTTCTCAACCTTTCCTCCCTTCTACCAACACACCCACTCACGGTGATTCCATTCCACCAGTTCATTCTCTCTCGCTTCGATCATATCGCTGTGGCACAATCCATAACCTCAATCCACCAGATTCTCCTCGGAACCAACGATCGCCCATCATGTCTGACACCGGCCGCAAGCCCTTGATGGACCGTACGTGCATCTCGACCGTTTCTCGAGCCGTCAATCAGCTAACTTGATCGACAGAGGCTCAAGAGAAGATCACGCCCGACTCTCAGAAGTCCACCCTCGACAAGGCCAAAGAGTCTGCCACGGGCACGGCCGACGACATCGCAGGAATGGTCCAGCCAGGTCCTTGGCAATCTCGACTCCTTCTAGACACCCCCGACTGACACCGGCAAATAGGAGACAGCAAGTCCACCACCCAGAAGCTCTCTGACGAGGCCTCAGCCAAGACCAGCTCGATTCAAGACACTTTATCCGGTGCCACGAAGAGCGTTCAAGACACTGCGTCCTCGGTTGGCCAGACGGCCAGTTCCAATGCTGCCGCCGCACAGGAATCAGGCAAGAGTGTGGTGCAACAGGCTCAGGACTTGGCCGCCAGTGTTCTGAACAGCGCTAGCAAAGCTGCGTCAGGTATGCGGCTCTTGCACCCCTTCCCTCCCTGCTCAGGCTGACATTGCTATCAGATCTTGCTAGCAGCATTTCCGGCGAGAAGAAATAGATGACAAGGTTAGCATGCAGTGATGGTGGAGGAGTGACCGGGGAGTTGTTGCAGGACACTGGAGACGCGAGCCCTTCGTACAGCTGGCATACCTTATCCTAGCGTACCACTCATGGTCGCCGCCGATCTTTTCATCCAAAGACCGGAGGTGGTCTCTATTAACGACAAAACCTGACCTGGTAGGAGCAATCCGATCATGATTGTTTTAGTTCTACAGACAATGAATTAGTATTCTTTCCACACCCAGCTGTTATGTTAATTTCGTCTTGCTTCCCTTTTCCCACTCACGCTCGCACACGGCTTGCTTGCCCGCTATGTGCTTCGTCCTCAAGCAGATCCTTTAATCTTTTTCTCCCGGTAACCTTACCCCCTCCCAGTCCTCTCTCCTTACGGTCCTCCACTCGTCAGGGTCAAACCATCCGATATAATTCTTATCGCCGAAGCCGCCAATCCAATACGCCTGGGTCACCACCAGACGTGTCCAGAAGCCCTGATGCGCGGCCCACTTGCGGCCGGGCAACCACATGACACTGTCCCTGTGCTTGCGCAAGAAGCAACTTTCTATGGCCCTTTGACTGACCTCGTGCGCAGGGATCTCTTCAAGGTAACCGGTCAAGCTGAGGCGAGGGAGGTTGGCCAGAGCCCAGGGCCGCTGCCCGGTCAGGTGGATGTACTCGTCCCACCAGCTGAGGGCGAGCGAGACGTTGGAGCCGGCCGCAGCGTTGCGCGTCGCCGTCGACACCTTGAGTGACAGGATCGTCGGGTTGCCGCTCGGCTCCTCGCACGACGCAATGTACTCGGGCAGGCCGATGGGCGTGTCGGCGACCGAAGCCGGGAGTCCCGCGGTCCTGGCCGAGGATGATACCGACGAGAGGTTCGAGGGGAAGATGCTCGTGAGAACCCCGTGCGACGAGAGCGCCAGGAGCCGTCGGCCCAGAAGGGTCGAGTAGTAGCGGGAGGGGAGGGAGATGGTGGAATCGTCTTGTCCTTGGTGTCGTTGGTCTTGACTCTTGCCGGTTTCATCTGCGTTTTCGTTTTCTTTTTCGCCGTCGCCGCCGCCGTCGCCGCGGGAGCCCGCTGAAGAGGGCGAGGACGATGACGATGACGAGGATGACGATTGGATCGGTGACTCGGCAAAGAGAGGGGGAAACGGAATCTTGTACGGGGAAAACGTGAAGAGAGAGTCGATGCCCAAGTCAGAGGAAGAGTCGTCGCGGGTCTCTTCGACGAGCTGCCCCCGGGCTGCGGACGGAACCATCATGTTCATGTTCCTCTGGCCGTCTCGGTCGTGGTCACGTTCGGCCACCACCATGGACGGTGCGCAGAGAGCGGCTCGCGGAACCAGCAGGCCGAGAACCTGCACCGCCGCCAGTGTCCAGGCCGACTGGATCCTCATGCTGCGTCGTGGTCCGTCCGCCTGCCTGTCTGGCTGTCTGGCTGTCTGCTTGCCGCTCTCCCTGTCTCTGTGTCTAGCTGGCGGGCCGGCCGGCCGGGTGTTCGTTCAGCTATACGTCGTCGTATACGGTGTAGCGCTGTACAGATCCGTTGCAGTATATGGGCCTCTCGTCTCCTTCCGGCCACCCCCCTCTCGGCGAATAAACTACCGTGAATTCTTAATTTCGCCTATTCTTTTATTTCTCTTCCGCTTTTCCTTCCTCTCGGGTCCTTTCCTGTCTTCTTTCTCTTCTCTTCTCTTCTCTTCTCTTCTCTTCTCTTCTCTTCTCTTCTCTTCTCTTCTCTTCTCTTCTCTTCTCTTCTCTT